AATCCATAATTATGTCCCCACTGGATGCAACGAATGCCTCGTTTATAATGGGTTTTCATGTTTTTGAATCATCGCTTCGGCCTGACAGCATCATCACAGTATGGTAGGGGTGTAACATTTCAGTCACACGCTTGAGGTATTCGGCCAATCATAACGCACTGGATAGCTGGCCAATCACAGCACATCTTGCTTTTCAGACCGATGAGCTTTGTAAAAATCAACGTGTTTCAGAAAGGCGGGGCATAGAGGAGAAACAATAATGTACAATAATGATAACTCGCTACTGGTATTATTGGTAGATTTCTGGAGAACTTTTCAGCATGGATAATGTCTTACCCCTTGACCCAACTCAGGATTTGATCTTTCCCCCAGAGTTACTGGTGAGCAAACCGTGTGTTCTTTTGGTAGCTAATAAGAATGTGAAAATTTCAGGCCACTATTGTTTTTTTTGTTTTTTTCATTATGTCCCTTCTTTCCAACAGATTATGGGAAAGAAATAAGCTGAACGACTTCGTTTACAGGGTGAAAAGGTCAGGTGGATTCCTCCAGCAGATCTGAAAGATTTAATCAAGCTGAAAGCTTAATACCCCAACACACCTCTGTTGGTTGGGAACACAACCATAGGTTGGTTTCAAGAGGAAGTTCATCCATCCATCCATAGAACCTGTTTGTTCTTTTACAGGGCCAAAGATGAACCTAAAGTGAAAGTGACGTGAGGCCAAGTCTGGTGACCCATACTTGGAATTAGTGCTCTGCATTTAACCCATCCAAAGTGCACATACACAGCAGTGAACACACACACACCGTGAACACACACCCGGAGCAGTGGGCAGCCATTTATGCTGCGGCGCACGGAGAGCAGTTCGGGGTTCAGTGCCTTGCTCAAGGGCACCTCAGTCATGGTATTGAAGGTGGGAGAGAGCGCTGTACATCCACTCCCCCCACCTACAATCCCTGCCGGTACGAGACTCAAACCCGCAACCTTTGGGTTACGACTCTCTAACCATTAGGCAACGACTTCCCCAAAAGGGAACTGTCCATCCTTTGGTGATCTATGGTGGAAGTATTCCAGAACTTCAAACTATCAAATGGAGAAACAATGGTAAATCAATGTGAAATAATGCATCACCATTTCATATGCTTAGTTAGCGAATATAAAAGCCCAAAGTAAATTCAACAACATAGTTTTATTTAGGTGTAACTGTAGGGGCAGGATGCAGTTTGTCTGTTTTGAAGGATGTCCTTCTGCAAGGAATTGAGGAACTCGGGCCAGAGAAAAGCAGGGTTTACCAGGCCCTCGTTCAAACATTACAGTGTTTGGCCAGCAAACAGATATGCGACATGGCTGTGAGTAGCAAAAACAAATCACTTTGAGGAATTAAGTAGAAAAAAAGGACTGAAATATTTATACACAAATAATAAGTTGGTAGTTAAAAGCAAAAAAAGTAATTTTGATGATAAATTTGTGTTGAATTACTTGTCTACATGTTACATCTTTGTTTATGTTGGAAATTCAAGACCATTGGTGGAAATATCCTGAGCGCCATATTATATATATTTGGAATTCAGTTGTCCATAATTTCCAATAACTGCCTTTTTGCAATATTTCTCAGTTTCCAATATATGTGACATGGAAAATAATATTAGAATTACATTTTTCAATTGGTCTTAAATATAGATGGTGCTCGAGAGATTTGTCTAAGTGAAGAGTTTTTCACAGACTTTGGTAAAACGGCTCTATGACCAGATGAGATTCTGCTGGCTATTGACATTTCTCACTAAAGACCGGTACGTTAATCAAAATGGAGGACGCAGACTAAAGTTAATGCTAAAACTAAAGTCTATATTACAAAACTATTCAAGATTCAACAAACACACTTACCCTAAAAGACTATTAGTCATTGCTAATTCCATCTATTTAATTTTTTTTAACCACAAATTCACTTTTACACTACAAATACAATATGAATTTCAGTTTCCATTCTGAAAAGCTAATCGCTAATCCCTGTGCTTTACAGTGGGAGTTTGTGTCTGCATTTCGCCAGGCACAGCGCAGAGAGTTCGCCTTCTCCATAGTGAATTCTGGCATGAGGGTGGCGTTCAGACATGACTCAAATGTGGTGGAAAATCTGGATATTTTTTATGGAGATGTGGGATCAACTCTGGTAAAAGCCAGACACGCCTGTAAAGAGCTGATGGGAAGGTACAGCCATCTCAAGGTCTTCATAATTCACATCCAAAGACTGTACACTGTTTTACTGAAGGTAACAAATACATTGCTTAGAAAAAGAAAAGCCAACAGTTAACCATTAAATGAAAACTAACAAAATCTGGTGCACTACCTGCATTATTTTGTGTTGCTAAATTGCATACATCCCAGTCAGTGAACTCTGATTTTTACTTGGCAGAAAATGGGATGAGAAACTTTTGGTAGAGGGAACGCAACTCTTAGAAGAAGAAATGTATGTGCCCCCTACTGCCCCTGGTGGACAGGAAGAGTATCGCAAGGCTCTAGTACTCAGCTTCTTTTTCAGGTTTTACATGCAATTTTGAATTGCTGTATTGCTTGAATTGAAAATACATGCTGGAGCTCCAACAAAAGGTATGATTATGGCAATTATTAATTTAAAAGCAGAACAATTTACTTAAATCTAGGTAGCGCTGCAAGGAAACCATTCTTTCCAGGTAGGCAGACCTGAGTTACACAGGGACAAACTCAAAACAAAGCTTGCATTTTCATATCAAGTGTGATTAACAACTTTCTCATTACCAATGAAATTACAGCTTGTACCAGAGACTCAGTCTTCTAATGACCTGGTGGGACGTCCCAACGTACACCAGGCTGCCCTTCAGCAGGCTACAGGAGAAGCTGTGTATTACAATGACATCCCATCTGTTAAAGGAGAACGTTTTGTTTCCATGGTAACCAGCACCAGGGCTCATGCAAAGATCATGTAAGTAGAAAGAAATGTGTTCATTATTTATGGAATAACACATTTAAACACAATTTTGATCATTTTGATTCATTTTATTTTCCCCAACACAATCAAACATTCCCAAAATTGAACACCATCACAAGACAAAGAATCAGCTTATTCATCTACAGACCCATGATACATATTTAATTATTCCTCATCTTCAGCACCCATACAGCTTGTTGATCCTCAGGATGTCGGTGTTGGACATTCCCTGCCTCTGTCCGATTTCCACCATCTCATCAGGAATGGGAGTGATGGTTTCCAGCCCGGGCTGGATGGAGAAGGCTGTTCTTCCATAGTGCATGATGGAGCCGTAGTCGTATGGAGTGTTTTGGTTGTTGGTGTTTTGTTTCTGGAAGTTGTAGGCCATATCAGGAGACATGTTCTCCCAGTTGATCTTGACGTACTCATCCCGATCGCTCCTGGTTTGCTCGTGGTAGAAGCCCAGGGCATGATTGAGCTCATGCTGAACGATGCCGTGATACACACAGCCTTGCCTGTTGAGGGAGACCACCTGCTTGCCACCAGTTCTGCCAAGAGAAGAGTAGCACCTGAGAGGAGAGAAACAAGAGATGTTATACAATATCAACCTGATTTAAAGTTGTGTTGTAAAACTGAGTCCAGAAGGTATGATTGTTCTCACCCATCTTTGTTCTCAATACTGATGTAGTCACTCTGAGTTGATCTGGCCACAAAGCGGATGCAGGTTTTGGAGTGAAAGGTGGACATGGCATTTGTGATAACTAATTTGTTATTATAGGCTGTAAAAAAAAAAAAGGGGGCCAAAGGTTTAAAATGACATCTTCATGAATGTGTTCAATGATTTGTTCAATGATTGAAGGACATTCACTCACAGAATTCACCGCTCACTATGTAAGGGATCTCCACTATGTTGTTAGAGTTTTTCTTCCAGAAACAGTTGTTGTTAAAGCAGTTGAGAGCATTTCTGGTTTTGGGAAACACCAGATCTCCTTCAATCAAGACTTCAGAAGATCCTGCATTTAAAGAGAAACATACTGATGAAATAGCTGAACATATTTTTAGGTTTTGATAATATTTTTCCAATACTTTGTGAAACTCTTTATAGAAATATACAAGGTGTCTAACCATTGTTGGACTCCAAAATCCTTGTAGTGATATCCAGAGGTTCAGGCTCTGACACAAACACTCCTTCAAACCTCTGGTCCTGGTGGCAGAAACAGAGATGTTAAATTGACACATTTGAAGAACATTGATCATTTAAGGGAGGAACTAGACAGGATCTTACCGTGAGAGGAGACGCCTGTGAGACGCCAAACAGCAGCAGCAGAATGGAGAGGGAGGCTCTTGTGTCCATGTTGTCTCAGTGTGTAGAGATGTTCAGGATGCTCCTGTGCTGAGCTTTGGTGTCTTTGTGCTGTCAGACCTGGACTTTATATTCACCTGAGTAGGTGGGTCTACTGGGGGATTATGGGTAGGGTCTTAGTGTCAAGAGACTAATGTGTGTAACTAAAGGGAGTACACACTCTGTTAAGTCCAAAGCCTTACAAAATGAAGGGAGGTGCTCCGGCTTGTTTATCTAATTCATCCATTAAGTGTATGGGCTGGACAATTCTTTATTTCTTTGAAAATGCAAATCTCACTGTCTCAATCTTATCTTTACATCAGCTCTATAGATGCATTGGTGGCTCTAGCCATGTCTGGAGTCGTCACCTTCATCTCTGCCAAGGATGTTCCTGGTCAAAATCGAAGACTCTGGTTCAACAACCCAGAGGAGCTTTTTGCTGAAGAGGAAGTACCACAATAAATATTATCTGGTTTAAAGATACATCTGAATACTAAATGATTCCTATCTCAGATTAGATGTTTCAAGCCTTACTATATACATTAGTAGTTGTTACTACTTCTTAGTCAATAATGCTTCTTTTGCATTTCAAGTACTTTGCAATGTTGTGTCTTGACGGTTTGCCCTTTGCAGGTCATTTGTGTAGGGCAGATTATTGGTGCCATCGTGACTGAAATCAGAGAACAAGAAAAACGAGCAGCCGAGCAGGTGGCCATAACTTTCGGGGACATCCAACCTGTCTTTTTCACTATAGAGGTATTTGTAAATCATATTCAGAAAAGCATTTATAATGGAGTGCTAAACAAAGGTTGAGGAGCAGCATCTTACATCATCTAATTCTACTAATCACCTCAACATCTTTATTTTTTTATTAAGGAGGCCATTGAACACCAGTCATTTTTTGATCCCAAGAGAAAACTGGAAAGAGGAAATGTGGAAGAAGGGTTTGAGAAAGCAGACCACATACTAGAGGGTGTGTACAATTAAATCTGAATCCTATTTGAACCTCTCCATATAAAATACTTTTTTAAACTAGTCTTTGACTTTTTTATACAATGCACATTCTCATTTTTTTTACATACTTCACAGGTGAGCTGTATATGGGTGGTCAGGAACATGTCTACATGGAAACTCGGGGATTGATTGCGATTCCTAAGCGAGAGGCAGGTGAACTGGAGCTTTATGTTGCCAGTCAACATGCAGCTTATACTCAGGTCTGTATTGCTCCATGGACATAAACTGATGAGTTTATTCCTCAGTTGTTGGCCTAATTTCCTACTTTTAACAGGAAGTGGTGGGCATCACTCTCGGCATTGACTTCAATAAGATCACATGTCATGTGAAGAGGCTAGGAGGTGGATTTGGTGGTAAAGTCACAAAGATTGCATCATTATCCTCCATCGCTTATTTATTTGCTTGTGTATTTTCCTTTATTGCTTATTTTAAATATTTTGTTTACTTGTTTCTGTGGAATACAAAGATAGTATGCTATGAAATTAGCTTTTAACACAATGCTAAAGCTAAGTACACTGTCTGTACACTCAAATTTAACCACAGAACTGGCCGTGCTGTGCGATGTGTACTAGAACGTGAAGATAACATGCTAATCACCAGTGGCAGGTCCCCTTTCTTGGGAAAGTACAAGGTAATGTGTCACTATTGGTAACAGTATTTTGACTGGATAAATGTGCAACATCACAACAGCTTATGTCCTGCCTTTCTACAGGTTGGATACATGAATGATGGAACAATTCTGGCTGCTGTTATCACATACTACAGTAATGGAGGATGCACTCTAGATGAATCCTCTTTTGTATGTTGGTTTTTAAGACTTAAACAAGAAAAAATGAAATGTTTTAGATTTATAAATGACCAATCCCTGGAACTGTGAGCTAGGTTATCTTAAAGGGCACCTATTATGCCTCTTTTTACAAGATGTAATATTGGTTTTGGGTGTCCCCAGAATGTGTCTGTGAAGTTTCAGCTCAAAATACCCCACATATAATTTATTATAACATCTGGAAATTGCCATTTTTGAGGCGTGTCTAAAAAAAGAGCTGTTTTGGTGTGTATCACTTTAAATGCAAATGAGCCCGCCCCATCTCCAAAAGAGGGCGTTGTGTATATGTCTCTCTGCTTTACATACCTACTGTAATAAACAGCCGGTAGAAGCAACATAACTGAGAGCGAGAGAACCAGTGCTCAGCCGTACATACGGGAAGCCAAATGCACTGAAAGTGGAACAAAACAGCGCAATGTTTCAGAGCTCACACCGTGCTGACCTGTCATCGGCGTGGCTCAATGGACCGAGCCGTGCAACTGCGCTACCGAACGGACAGCCTGCACAAACTATTCTCACAAGCACAGTGCTGATCAATTAAAATACTTCGATAACGTACGCACACAAATACGGTTAAAATGCTAAGTACTATAACGACATGACATTCACAAAGCAGTCTGGAGTGAAATGAGAAATTGAAGACTGTGATGTGATGTCACATTGCATATAGAGAATCAAAACTGCAGGCCTAGTGAGACTGATTTGGTCTAATGGAGATTAAAAAATAAGGAGTGGGTGGATTTTTATCATTGTTGGGTAGTTGTGTTCACACACTGCCAACACACATTTATGTCCAAACACCATGTAAAACTGGATTTTGCATAAGAGGTGCCCTTTAAAGGTATAGTTCACCCAAAAATGAAAATGCTGTCGTTAATTACTCACACTTATGTCATTCCAAACCCATACAATCTCTGTTTATCTTCGGAACACAAATTAAGATATTTTTGATGAAATGCGAGAGCTTTCTGACCCTGCATAGACAGCAGCGCAACTGACATGTTCATACGTCATGTTACTCTTGTGAACGCACGTCAAAGACTGATTCTGAAAAGAAGAAATTGTTGAATTGTTTAAGTTATTATTTTTGGTTTCTTTGTGCATGAAAATTATTCTTGTAGCTTCATAAAATTAAAGTTGAACCATTGATGTCACATGGGCTATTTTAACAATATCCATACTACCTTTCTGGACCTTGAACATGGTAGTTGCGTTGCTGTCTATGGAGGGTCAGAAAGCTCTCGGATTTCATCAAAAATATCTTAATTTGTGTTCCGAAGATAAATGAAGGTTTTGTTTGGAATGACATGAGGGTGAGTAATTAATGACAGAATTTTCATTTTTGGGGGAATTATTACTTTAAATTCCCATGTACAATAGGTCAGTCTCTAAGTCACATACTTTGTATCTTTTGTAATTTACTACCAGATCATGGAGAAAGCTCTCCTTCACATGGATGTGGACTGGTGTGCAAGACCTACTTACCATCATATACAGCCTTCCGTGCCTATGGTGGACCTCAAGGGTTGACCATCATTGAGAGTGTGCTACATGAGGTGGCCGCCAGGTGTGGCTTACCTGCACATCAGGTGGGATTAAAGATAAGTTGATTAAACAGAATTCAAACAGTGTCTTAATGGGTTAAAATTTTAACTGGTAACCAAAAGACTGTATGTTAAAAACCCTACAACTGTTCGTTTATAATGTTGAGCTGTCGAGGTAACTTTTGATGTGTCAGATCATGATAAAATTGGGGTTTTCATTTAGACTCTAAATACGCAATCCAACAAATATATCTATTGTACAGGTGAGAGACATCAACATGTACAAGGACGAGAAATGCTACACCCACCACAAGCAGCTCTTTTCTCCTTATGACATGGTACAGTGCTGGAACGAGTGTCTCGAGAAATCTGACTACACCCATCGATGCCTGTCCATCAAGCAGTTTAATGCCCACAACCACTGGAAGAAGAGAGGGATCTCCATTGTCCCACTGAAGTTTGGAATTGGATTCTCCAAAGGTTTCTATAACCAGGTGGGTGAAAATGTGTAAGACTGCACATAAAATGGTGCAGTTTAGTTCACACGATCACTTTAAAGGTTTTCACGGTGTATTAGTCAATACTACTACAAAGAATATCTAATATTGGACCATTTTTTGGGAATTCTCTTCAGGGAGCAGCATTGGTAAACATCTACAAAGATGGATCAGTTCCGATCTCACATGGAGGAACCGAGATGGGTCAAGTTATCAACACCAAAGCCATACAGGTGCGATGAGTCTCAGTGTTGAATAATGGTTCCAAATACAAGTATTACATGAAATACGCCACTTGCAAGATAATGTCAACCTTCACATTCAAATTGCAGATTGCAAGTCGCATTCTGAAGGTTACAATGTCTTCGATCCATATCAAGGAGACCTGCACAGGAAACGTGCCCAATGCTGCACCATCTGCTGCATCCTTTGGCACGGATGCTGTCGGGATGGCAGTCAAGGTATAGGAACAGTAACTGATTTACAAGTATTTATGCAAATGTCTTTTTCACGACTGAAATTGTACTATTTTGCATGAAGAATGGTTGTGAGAAACTGATGAGACGTCTGGAGCCACTCATTAAGAAACATCCCAATTCACCTGGCAACAACTGGTTAGTAAGAGTGACATCCAAGTACTCAACTGTATAATACAGACTGAATTACTGATGGACAGCCAAACGAGAATCACTTAACTGCTGTTATGTTTCCAGGTTGTGAAAGCATATTGCCAGAAGATCAGTTTGTCAGCAACAGGTTTCTTTATGTATGTGTTTGACCTTGCAATAGTGTAAAGCAAAATATTGAGTTGTCTGTGATGAGATACTGTTAAGAATGTCTTAATAATAAATAAATATACAATTTAATAAACGATTTGCTTATACCAGGGGCCCCCATACCAGTGTTGACTGGGAAAAGAGTGACGGCAACTCGTACTACTACTTTACTTTCGGGGCCTGTTGCTCAGAGGTGGAAATTGACTGCTTGACAGGAGATCACAAGGTGCTTGTCTTTTTTTAGTAATTTATATTCATAAATATTAATATGATTTGGCTATGGAACTTAGATGTCATATCAGTAAAGATTCATGAGCAGTTATTGACGTGTCAATGGCTTGGATTCATAAAGCTGCAAATTTTCAGGTTATGTGTGCACATTTACAATTTGAATATTAAAATTTTGTGGACTGTGAAATTATATTTTACAGAACATTAGAACTGACATTGTGATGGATGTTGGTCGGAGCATAAACCCTGCTCTGGATGTTGGACAGGTATTTAAGACGTTATTATTGTACCTCAGATGCAAACAATTTAGATAATTAGGGTATAAATCAGTGACCATACACTACAGTTAATATTAATAAATGTGTGTGTTTACAGGTGGAGGGAGGTTTTGTCCAGGGAATTGGGCTCTATACTATAGAGGAGTTGCAGTTTTCTCCTGAGGGTGTGTTGTTGACCAGGGGTCCCTCTCAGTATAAAATCCCAGCTCTGTGTGACATCCCTCCTCAGCTGAACGTCCACCTGCTGAGGAACGCAGACAATCCTCACGCCATCTACTCCTCAAAGGTAAAACAAAAAACCCTGAATGTCAACACAACAAGTTCAACCAAAATCAAAGCTGTTTAAGTAAAAATACATAGCAAATAACTAGTAATATTTACCTTTCAGTGATAATTGCAGACATAACAATCGCCAAATTTGCGTCTAGGCTTCTATGATTGAAAAAAAACTCTTCAGGTCAGGCCGGTTCACAGCAGACGTCAATCATTTGAGCACATTAAACAACGTTTGCAACCTCTTCTACTTCAGTAATCTGACATTCTGAACAAAATAGGATATTTATGCACAGTGGAATTTTATTATTTGTTGAAATATTGGTTATAAAGGTATTGTTTTTTGTTTTTTTTAGGGGATCGGGGAGCCTACTGTGTTTTTCGGCTGCACTTTGTTCTTTGCCATTAAAGAAGCGATTGCAGCCACGCGGAGAGAGAGAGGCCTGAGCAAAGGTTTTCCTTTCTCTTCTCCTGCTACTGCAGAAAAGATACATATGGCCTGTGAAGACTGCTTTACCAGGATGGTGGGTGAACAGTGTTAATACAGTAAATGCATATTCATAATTTAAAAATTCTAAATTTTAGTTTTTAATATATTATAATACACTATACATTTAATAGATAATATTTTATTTGTTATATTATTATACATTGTTTCAGGTTTATCGGTTTTGGCTCCAAAAAAACAAATGTACAATTTTATAATTTAAATATCTTTTTTTTTTTTTTCTCAAACAGAATCCACCAGACAGGAAAGTAAAAACCAAACCCTGGGCCATCAACGTGTGAAGAAAAACAACAGATTATTCAAATTTTGTAATGCTGTCACTTTCTTTTCATTGAGACTTTGAGCTCATAAACTGGCTATCAGGTCAAACTCTTAACCTCAGTTTACATGTTGGGGACTTCTAGCTTCCTTAATATTTTTATCATGCAGTTAATGTTTCATAAAAGCAATAAGGAACTTTCTCAGTCAATAGTAGGATGTAGATTAATTTAATTCACATTTATTATAATAGCTGTTAAAGCAAATCCTAAGTGTCAAGTGAACTGATTTATGTGAGATAAAATTAAGATGTTAATAATAAGCTTGAATAACTATAAATTGTTCTTGAGATATGATTGCATGCAGAGCTTCATTTGTTTGTTTGTTTTTTTTGTTTTAGTAGATCATCGTTCGGCAAACAGCTGATAATTGTTGGATGTTAATTCAGGTGACTATTTAAATATAATAAATGTCTTGTGATTTGATAAGAGCAACACAACAGCTTTAAATCAGAACAAAACATAATAACAGGATTATGATGATGTTTTCATATGTTCAGAGCCAATGGCTGAGCTTTGAAGAATAGATGGCGTGAGGGTTGGATGTGCCGGCTAAAAGGTAGACGTTAAACTTCAGAGGGACGTCACAGAAGGACGGGATCTGTACTGGCCCGGTCCACGTGTGTACAGAACACCAGAAGGAGAAAACTTGAGCTCCTCCACGGTGTAGAGACCCAGACCCTGCATGAACGCTCCCTCAATCTGACACACATATATATATTATATGAGTAAATGCATATACACTGAACAAAATTATAAACACAACACTTCAGATTTGTGAACAATATTTGAGAGAAATAGGCCTTTTGTGTACATAGAAAAAGTCTTAGATCTTTGAGTTCAGCTCATGAAAAATGGGGGCAAAAACAAAAGTGTTGCGTTTATAATTTTGTTCAGTGTATATGCATTTACTCATATAATATATATGTGTGTGTCAGATTGAGGGAGCGTTCATGCAGGTTCAAGTATTATCTCACACCGAGGCTGCATTTATTTGAACAAAGATACAGTAAATGCTGTAATATTGTGAAATATTATTGTAATTTAAAAGAACTGTTTAAGGTGTAATATATTAATGCGACCTCTAGGCGAAGCTTGATGATGCTATGAAGGAGGATGTTCAAGGATGAGGTAATGAATTGTTATTTTTTTATTACCTGTACCTTCCACAGTTATTCAAACAGCGAATAAATTATTCAGAGGCATTGCCTCTGATTGGTCATTGCATTCATAAGCTCAATAGACTTGTGTGTGATTGGTTATAATGCGCAACACTGTAAAAACATGTACAACATTGAGCAGATATAAATTTAATGCTGCGGTCAACACTTTTTATTTAATTTTAATTTTATTTGCGACAGCAGTAATGGATTTAGTTTAACAGTACAGCAGCATTTGTGTCCATGTGTTGCCATAGTTTCTACAAGCAGAAACTGAGGATATGCGGATATTACGTCATTAATAGGTGACAATGACCAGGGACGAGACATTATTTAAAACTGGAATTTTTCTGGATTTACAAATCTTTGGGAACTTTTGGGATAACGTAAGTACACAACCGCATGAAATATATCACACTGTGTAAGTAGTTTTTGGATATGTTATTACGAACACCTTACATATTGTGCCTTTAATAGTTTGTCCACTTTACCCAGTTCTGCCATGTTCCTTTGGGATTCTTCTTTCTGATTGGTTCTAGTCTGTTGTAGAGTATTTGGCAGGCATCCTGCAAAAGTATGATTTGAACAATCCAAAAACAGATATTAAAGCATAAAAAAGTTTTAAAAGAACCTTCAAAATCATCAAATCATGTCGTCCAGACTGATCTGGTGTTTCAAAATCTGGCAGACGGGCAGGTATTTGGGACATATTGTGTGCTGGTCTCAGTGATGTGGATCAAAGAAGCAGGAATATTCAGCTCTCGAATCGCCACCTTTGAGAACACAGCTGAGATAAGCCCAAAAACTATGAAATGGTTGCAGATAAGTGCAGAAAGCTGGAAGTGGTACCTGTTGGACTTTAGTTTGTACACTTTGGCCCATTTCCATCCCACCGCGGCTCACTAGCACAGACCCATCCTTATAAATATGCACAAGAGCGGCAGCCTTTGTTGTAAACACACAAAAATGCCAACAGATTATTTGGAGTTAATTTAAAATAATATAAAAGACTCTGTGGCATGAAGCCTTCAGCAAACCCAATGCCATATTTGATGGTTATAATGGCGATTCCTCTCTTTTTGAACTGGTTCTGCTGGTTAAAGAAATCGATGGCCTACCGGCACTGCCTGAAGTCAGCTTTTCCAACAGCGGACGAGATTCTCTGGGTCAAACTCCATCTTGTAGTGAGTGAGGGAAACTTCTTTGTACATGTTTATCTCCCTGATCTGCAAAAATAAAATAAAAATGATGGGAAATGGGACAAAAAAACCTGAATAATTAGTTTATTAACTTGATCATTAGTAATATATGTTGCATAATGATGCAAAAGGGCCAAGAGCAAAAGATCTTTTTGTGACACTAACCTCTTCAGACAGACGGCCGAGTTTGAGTGCAACATCATCGATCATACTCTCAACGACCAGCATGCACTGGGGCACACCGAACCCTCAGAATGCAGTGTTGGAGGGCAGGTTGGTCTTGCAGGCCACCGATCAGCCACGCAGGTTTGGAATGTTGTAGGCGTTATCGAGATGCAGTAGGATCTTCTCTGCGACTTGGAAGAGTGAAATATTAGAATAATGATACAGTATTCATTTCATCCTATATATTCTCCAATGATGTTCACACAGCTGTCTATAGTGACCAAAGCAAAGTAGCTTCCACTTTTAAGCCACCATTTTGATTTTTGGCAGGAAGGCAATTAATCTCACCAGTACAGACTCATCTACTGTTTCCAGAGTTGGCATAGTACTGGAAATCAGCTGCTGTCATCCTCCCGTTTTTCATAAAGCCTACCTGTTGTAGTATAAATATGCAAATTTATTACATAAATACAGATTAGATAATATATATTAAAAGGGTCATGAACTGAGAAACCAAAATTCCCTTGATCTTTAGACATACAGTGTTTAATAATGAAAAAATACACAATTTACATGCATTACTTTCTCTGGTATTTACCAGTGAAACTGAACAGAAACCTACAATATTAGCAGTTAGGCTTTTATTGAAAAAAATCTGTATTTTCTTGTAGTTACTTTTTTTTAATAATGAACAATGAGAAAAAAGATGACTAACTTTTGTATAGTAGGCCTCCATTATTCTGTTATCTTCTCTATACTTTTGAACTGCAAAAATTAAGAACAAAACAATGTATGTATACAAATATGGCTTCAAGCTTCCCATATATGAATTAATAATAAGTGATACTGTATATATTTTTATAATTGCATAAAGTAAGTTGGCTCCAAAATAAAAACTGTCATTTCAGGTCTTTCCAAAATGGAATAACATTTCATCTGTGAAACACAAGAATGAGTGGATGGTGATTATCATTGTCCAGCTCCAAAAAGAAAATGAAAGTAATCAATTTGTGATTCATGTGCGTTATTCAAAGTCTTCTGAATCAATTTGATTGTTTACGTGAAAAACAGACTGTAATTAGGGGCCAAGCACCGAAGGTGCGGTGGCACCTATTGTATCCGTTAGCGTCATTTTTCTTCTTCCGCCGAAAGTCTATGGCAGCCCATAGAACCGCTTGCGGGAAAGTTGTGAAATTTGGCACACTGATAGACCCCAATCTCAACATTAACCACAGCAAGTTTGGAGTCTCTAACTCCAACTCTCTAGCGCCACCACTTGTCCAAAGTTTCAATTTCTTTATGCTAATAACTTTTGAACCATAAGGCACAAAATGAAAATTCTTTTTTTCTTCTGAATCCTTGGCTCATGCCGAGTCGAATGAACACCAAAATTCAAAAATCGCAAGGTTTAGTTTTTTCGCTATTCTTTAGATTCGGTGCATCATGCCGAGTCGAACCATACCAAATTTTTCCATGTCAGCCATTTTGGGCATCGGCCATTTTTAATTTAGTCAAAAAATGCAATATTTTAAGAACGCTTAGACTTTGTTATTACAAAAATCGGTATGCATCTTCGGCACCATGCCCTGATGGCACTCAAAAAGTTTGGGCGCAGTGCCACCTTGTGGTCAAAAGTTTATAAAAATGCTAATAACTTTTGCATACATTATAATATTGTAATCAGACTGATGTTGATAGATTCCTTGCATCATGATGAGAACATCGATGCCAATTTTGATAAAGTAAAGTGATAAAGTGACGTGACATATGGCCAAGTATGGTGACCCATACTCGGAATTAGTGCTCTGCATTTACCCATCCAAAGTGCACACACACAGCAGTGAACACACACAAACCGTGAACACACACCCGTTGTGGTATTGAAGGTGGAGAGAGCGCTGTACATTCACTCCCCCCACCTACAATCCCTGCCGGAACGAGACTCGAACCCGCAACCTTTGGGTTACGAGTCCAACTCTCTAACCATTAGGCCACGACTTCACCCCAAATACGCCAAAAAATACACCCCAAATTTTGCCATAATTGGCTGAACTTCCTGTCTGACATTTTGATTCATGTTGAAAACCTACTTTTTCGAACTCCTCCAAGACCGTTAGTCCAATTTTCACCAAATTTGACTCGGATCATCTTCAGACCAAACTGGCAAAAAATTATGGATTTCGTGTCGATATACGAAACGGTTTTCGTTTAGAGCGTCAACGAATATGCTGGTTAAGATGCCAAAATGCATCTGAGGCTGTATCTCTGCAAAGCTTTGACATATTTGGACCAAACTTTGTATGTGCCATTGTCACCTCACACTGACCACGCCACATCAATTTGGTAACAGCGCCACCTATTGGTCAAGAGTAATAAACCATTGATTTATTATTAATTATGAAATTTACAAAAATGCTAATAACTTTTGATTGCATTAGCCTATTGCAATGAAACTGATTTCAAAATATTCCTTGGCTTATGCCGACAACAGACATATAAATTTTCCCTTAGCAAATCCGAACTGCCTTTCGGCCATTTTGATTTATGCTGTAAACCTACTTTTTCGAACTCCTCCTCAAGCCTAGGTCCGATTTTCACCAAAATCGAGTCAAATCATATTCAGACTGTGCTGACAAAATGTTATGGATTTCGTGTCGATAGACGAAACCGTTTTTGTACAGCGCTGCTACAAATTTAGGCACGGTGCCAAAATGACTCTTAAGGCTATATCGCTTCAAAGCTTTGACATAATGACAACAAACTTTGTGTGTGCCATTGTCACCTCACACAGAACACGCCAAAATGATTTGATTACAGCGCCACCTGTTGGTCAAAAGTGATAAGCCATTTAATCATATTACTAGTGGTTGTATTTATGATTTTTCAGCCATTTCAATTACAATCATCCTAAAATTGCTTTTATTACTCGTTGCATTTTGTCTGATGCTCCATGCCATGCTTAGCTCCTCAATTTGCCTCTGGAGTGCTTGGCCCCGTGATTGCTGCTTGCAGCTATATTTTAAATTGTATTTACTCAAAATCTTGTCCTCTTTAGTATGAATCTGGCTCTCATGAGAAAATGTTTTATTTATGATCAGACACAAAATGGCAAACAATATAAAAAACCTTAAATTGTTTTGTACTTTGATCAACTTTATTTTTCCCAACACAATTACACATTTCAGAACTTAAACACCAGAAAGCAAAGACCCATGATACATATTTAATTATTCCTCATCTTCAGCATCCATACAGCTTGTTGATCCTCAGGATGTCGGTGTTGGACATTCCCTGCCTCTGTCCGATTTCCACCGTCTCATCAGGAATGGGAGTGATGGTTTCCAGCCCGGGCTGGATGGAGAAGGCTGTTCTTCCATAGTGCATGATGGAGCCGTAGTCGTATGGAGTGTTTTGGTTGTTGGTGTTTTGTTTCTGGAAGTTGTAGGCCATATCAGGAGACATGTTCTCCCAGTTGATCTTGACGTACTCATCCCGATCGCTCCTGGTTTGCTCGTGGTAGAAGCCCAGGGCATGATTGAGCTCATGCTGAACGATGCCGTGATACACACAGCCTTGCCTGTTGAGGGAGACCACCTGCTTGCCACCAGTTCTGCCAAGAGAAGAGTAGCAACTGAGAGGAGAGAAACAAGAGATGTTATACAATATCAACCTGATTTAAAGTTGTGTTGTAAAACTGAGTCCAGAAGGTATGATTGTTCTCACCCATCTTTGTTCTCAATACTGATGTAGTCGCTCTGAGTTGATCTGGCCACAAAGCGGATGCAGGTTTTGGAGTGAAAGGTGGACATGGCATTTGCGATAACTAATTTGTTATTATAGGCTGTAAACAAAAAGGGCCACAGATTTAAAATGAGATCTACATGAATCATAGATTTGTTCAATGATTGAAGGACATTCACTCACAGAATTCACCGCTCACTATGTAAGGGATCTCCACTATGTTGTTAGAGTTTTTCTTCCAGAAACAGTTGTTGTTAAAGCAGTTGAGAGCATTTCTGGTTTTGGGAAACACCAGATCTGCTTCAATCAGGACTTCAGAAGATCCTGCATTTAAAGAGAAACATACTGATAAAATAACTGACCATATTTATACATCTTGACCACATTTGACCACTATTTTCTGAAACACACTCATAAATTTACAAGAAATCTACAAAGTGCCTGACCATTGTTGGACTCCAAAATCCTTGTAGTGATGTCCAGAGGTTCAGGCTCTGACACAAACACTCCTTCAAACCTTTCCTCCTGGAGGCAGAAACAGAGATGTTTAAAATAGCTCATTTGAGGAACCTTGATTGTTTAGGGAGAGACTAGACGCAGCAGCTCCGTGAGAGGAGACGCCTGTGAGACGCCAAACAGCAGCAGCAGAATGGAGAGGGAGGCTCTTGTGTCCATGTCGTCTCGGTGTGTAAAGATGTTCAGGATGCTCCTGTGTGAGCTTTAGTGTCTCTGTGCTGTCAGACCTGGACTTTATATTCACCTGAGCAGGTGGGTCTACTGGGGAATTATGGGTAAGGTTTTAGTGTCCAGAGACTAATGTGCGTAACTACTAGGTGAAATAAATAGGTGAATAGGTGAAATTTCTGACCTTGCTTATTAATCTAAATCCATGCGGAAACAGAAAATAAAAGTTATTTACACTCTTAAAAATAAAGGTGCTTCAAAAGGTTCTTCAAGCGATGCCATAGAAGAACCATTTTTGGTTCCACAAAGAACCATTCAGTCAAAGGTTCTATAAAGAACCATCTCTTTCTTACCTTTTTATAATCTGAAGAACCTTCTTTCGCCCC